GTCCTCCTGTTAAAGTATCATGGGATTGGCACAGCACAACTTCCCGTAACTTTCTTGGGATAACCGTTTGCCAGGTTGTCACTTTCCCCATCTCCGGAGAAGAATACTATCTTCAAGCTTCAACTGGTCCCATTGTGCCCAATAGTTCTTTGTCATAGGGCTTAGTCTAGATACCTTCTCCCAAGCAGGGTGCAAAACACTTGTCGTAACAATATATACACTATATTGAAAGTTAGAAGTACTAAATCTATAAAGACTTTCAATGAGTACAAAGTGAATATGTGTCTTTTAAATTTCCCATATATTCATTAACTCTTCCAGTATTTTCCCTATTGCAACACCAGTATGACTTCCAGGAATAAGTTTGACAATAAGAACAGCATGTTGAAAATACAAATACTGTGGACCAGTGTCCTATTAAACCAGTAAAACTTGTTGTTGACCTTCACACAGTATCTAATGTTAGATAAATGGCATCAGCATTCAAAACCTGACCAGTAGTGCAGTTTTACATATATCGGGAACATTATTCAATAAAAATAAGTTTTGCTTAACCCTATGTGCATAGGATCAGTCCCTTAGAAAGATGCCCATATTGAAGAATTAATATTTACAATAATTCTGAACTGTGCGGAAACTATAGACAAATGCGAAGATTGAGGCTTCGGACCCTGATTCAATCAAATCAGGAATACCCCTAAAAACTTCAGGGCAAAAATAGGGGGCTAGGCAAAGATCTTGTAAAATAGAAGAAAGAAGATGAACCTGGTAAAGGAGAGTATCCCTACCAAACAATTCCCAGCAACAAAGAGCTAAGAAGCCCTAATCCTGATGTGGCACCATGAACTCGTTGTTGCTAAATTCAGTCCCTTGTGCACTCTATGCCACAGGGATGTTAAACAGTTATCAAGGCCAGAGAAGGAACAGCCAAATATTAAAACAAGAAACAGATTCTGTTACAACTTTTTGTCACTAGTCATAGGTGGTGTTATCTTTAAATCTAGGTTTTCTTACTCAGAAAACATTTTCTTATTTGCCAAGTATTTGTTGATTATCTTCTGAGTCTGACATGGCCTGGTGGTTAGGGCACTTGACCCATAATCTGAGGGTCATGAGTTCAAATCCCCGTTGCTGAACATGTTCATCCTATATTGTTGTTGTTTGGGCCTGCTACGTGGGTGTAAAAATTCTTGGCTTACAAAAATACTGGCCGACCCCAATCTAGTTGGGATTAAGGTTGTTACAAAGATTTGTTGCTTATCTTCTGTAATACATTTTTCACTTTTTAATTTTTTTTGCTAATAAAAATGCATATATATGTGTTTGGATGACAGAAATATGAGTCAACTTCCACCACACAATTCCCATAACCATTTTACACAAATTCTGGTACTTCCACAGTGCACAATATTGTAAAAAAATTACAGGTACCAAGAAAAGTGAAAAAATTGGGTGATGTAATAATTTTTTTTGCACCACTGTAATTTATGGAACCCTTTCTTGAAATATTTCCATTTTGGTATTTTTGTGTAAACTATAAGAGAATATTTTATGACAATTATTTTATTAATAAATTTAAAACCATATTAAATGTTTCATAGAGGAAGTTTAAAACATATATAGGGCTTTGGGGTAAAAAACATGGGAAGTTTTTCCACTGTTAAGTAGGTTATACCATATAATGTCTTACTTTAGAAACCTAAAAATATCCTTGAAGATACAAAACAGTTATTTATGCTTTAATGTATATTTGTTTTATATTAACAATAATAGTTTTCAAAATATGTTAAACATTTTTTATTTTGTTTTCTCAATCACTTCCATTTGCAAAATATACTTGGTTTCTGGTGTATATAATGTGATTCTTTGTTAAACTATCATCAGTACATCCTATTCATTCTACAATTTGTTTACCCTCTTTTCAAAATTTGAACTTTCACTTTTACTAATATCCTATATTTTCTAGCGGACTGTGAAATTGTTTAACAGAATTTGTATAACAGAAATTGTTTACATGAATAAACAATTTGATGGCTGGATATTAAGATTCTCCTCAAATGCTGTTCATTACACCTCTAGTTTCTAGATGAGTTAATGTTAAAGATTAAAAAAAATATGTTGTACAATTTAATTATGTTCAAAATTTGTAATATCTTCTAAACAGCCAGAACTTCTTTTCACATACCATCACAGAAATTGGGATAAATTCTTAATGTATGAAATAAACTTGATATATTTGAAAATTCAAGAAACTTACCTTGAAACTTGAAATTAACCAGTCAGCTTAGAGAGTAACTCATAAGAACATAAATATAAATAATATATAAATATAATTATATAAATAATATAAAACATAAGAAACAATAATGATTTCAAAATTTATAAGGCCAATGATTAGTTAATATAAAAGTAACCTTTAAAAACATTTACTTTATGTACAAATTAGATGAGTATCCTCAGATAAAATGTTAACAATATTTCAGATAAATAATTCAATTTCATCTATAAAATGCACATTTGGCTTATGGAATCCTCTCAATGACAAGACTGACAAACCTGGTTCATTATCTGTTTCTGCTGCATTTCCTCCCCAAAGGTCACCATGAACTATAGCTGGTACAATACTGATGTTCTTGAAGAACTTGGGCAATACAAGCTGCAGCTGAGACCAAAGTTCTTGTGCTTCCCTATCTCTTTTATTCTTTTCAATGAGATTTAACTGATACTGAAGTCTTTGTCTTGCAAAAAATTCCTGTAGATTTTATAAAAGTTTTAAGAACATTAATGTATTTGAAACTAAATTTATGGAATATTTTGTAAATTTTACTTCGTACTTAGCTACTTACTATGTGAAAGAGATATTAAATATTTCCCACTAAAAAGTTGAATAAAAAAAAAGAGCCCACAATGTACTTTCCATCATACACAGACAGGTGTTCACATTAAACACAGAACTACTTAGTTACCAATCAATAATTTAAAGTATTGAAAAACAAATAGTTTATGTCTTTTTATTTTGAAGACTCCTTAACATAACTTGAAGATCCTGGAGCCATGTTAAAGATTAGGTATATGTGAAAACCATAAATAACATCAGCTTCTGACCTGATACGCCACTGATATTTACTAAATAAATGAAACTTGTTTGAAAATCCAATACATCTTGAAATGCTGTAAGAGTAAAGTATCTAAGTAAATTTAAAAAATTAAAAATACCAACAACTGCATGAACACTTGAAACACTGTCAATACAAGTGTTACAAGTTCTTAATATTTATGTAATTCATAAACTTCCTTTTGGAGTAAAGTAAATTATTTTATTATCTAACCAGACATGACTAAGTTTCATGATTTCTAAATGAACACTGAAGTTTCATAAAAACAAAAAGTAGAATTTCCTAACTATTTGTCAGGGGATATATGTGTGTGCAATAAAGAATTATAGGACTATTTTGAGCTAAAAGAAACATCAATACACCTTTGGAAAATAAAACTGGTACTGACAGTTTTAATAATATGGAAAAATAACTCAGGTTTGATAAACAATGGGTGAATCTCTAAGAGTTATTACACCAATCTTTAACTTAAAACATTCCCATCTTTTTACTTTAATGCGACCTTCATGAATTTCCAGTATTTTTCCCCCATTGATAACAATCAAAACCATAGTAATAAAAAATACTTTATGCAGTTTGGTTAGGCTAGTATTCTTGGCTTAGCCTTCTTGATTGTAACTTGAGAAACAAATTATTCATCAACAAACTGCAAGTTCTACTGGGTGTTTATGTAAAGATGTTCCTTTTCATGTGTTTAGATCAGTTGATCAGTGATAAATTTATTTTAGACTTGTAAAAATACATAAATAAACTTTTCCTGAAATGCCAAGTTTATAGTTTTGTATAATTTTTTTTATTCTACCTCAATATAAACGAGTAGAAAAATAACACAAGTTCTTAGTTTGTAAAATACATATTGGCTACCATACATTACATATGCGTGTATGTATGTGTATATATATATTGTTACGTCTCCGTTCTTTAGTCATTTTCCGTAAATTCGTCTGACGAAACTTTATCGACACAAGTCCTTTCTTAAATAAAACTGGTTTATTCTTTCTGAATATAACTTTGCGATACATTTAATTTCAACGGTCACGCTATAATTCTCAACGAATGTCTCACGTGCTCGACTTCAACAATACTCAGTTCAATTACACACTCTCTGGCTGCAGTTCAATTACTCATTGTCCTGTCACGTTGTGACCGTCTTATATATACCAGACTACCCCCAATCTAGTAGTCTCCCAATAATTCACGAAGGTTCGAGAAGGACGTGGCATGATACTAGTCACGTGACCTCGCTTACACAACAATATATATATATATATATATATAACAAATGTTTTCTAATAAATACTTAAATGTCAGTTATTGTTCTTCAAACATAAAACAATAAATAAATTTTGGACAACAATGATCTCTACTACTTACGATGTAATGAAGTCCTTGTTTGCACTTGTGAGCCACACTTGCTAAGCCTCACCCAAATTCACATGTGAAGATGGAAAAATAATTTTTGTAGACTTTATATAAGCATTTTGGAATACAAATATATATATATATATATATATATATAAATTACAGTACCAATACCCCAAAAATCTACTGTAATTTACC